CACGAAATCGAAACAACTGATCCAGCATAAGCCCCGCGCCTCAAGAACAGGTGGAAGTGTTGGTGGGCATCGGGGCGAGAATCCGCCGTATCTCCCTGGCCCGCTGTAGAAACTGATGTGAGCACGTCCAGTTCTGAGAACTCAAGCACCAGCTCCTTGAAAACGCAAAGAGGCTGAGCCAAGATCTTCAAGGCTCACTATATAATATATGGTTCGGCATGCGCGTCCACAGCTGTAAATAGAAGGAATGTGCATGCGTATGTATGAGCTGACCCATTCATGCACGCACCTGAAAGACCACGACTCGGGCGATAAGGACGTTGCAGGGTTGATAAGCCTTCATGCTTATGTCCCTCTCGGTTGCAAGTGGACTTGTGTTTCGATGCTCCTTTCGACGTTCCTTTCACTTGCCATGCGGATTCCGAACTGACTCTTGATAGCATGTACACTTCCCTGTAAGATTTAGCTTCGGCATTCATGCTGACTTGTGCTCCGACCACTTTCGCTGTGCGCTTTCGACATGCATATCCATGTTCATGCTGATGTGCATGTCGGATTGATGTTTGATGTCTCACTCGACTTGCAGTTCGACGTGTTGTTGTGCACTTCGTTCGGGTTGAAATTCGACGTGTCGATCCATGTCGCTTCCGATTCGTGCTCCGACGCGCATTCTGACCTGTGTGCTGCGTCGCCCGTCGATTGCAATCGGACCTGCACTTCGGTGCGCACGTTGACGTGGCTCGCAGGTTTGCGCTCTGGGTTTGACTTCGGTGTGCATGTCGTTTGCACTTGGACCGTACACCAGCTTGCACATGAATCGGGTCGGGCGAAAGGGGGGGATAGCAAAGGGGGGGTTTGAGAATCAGCCCACGCAGCTGATTTTCCCGGCGCCTCCCGGCGCCGGAGGTGGCTATGTATCGAGGAATGGGCCCCTCGGTGAGGCGGAAACCAGCTGCATGCAGCCGATTTCGTAACCCCCCCTTTCCCAATCCCCCCCTTTCGCCCGGCCCGAATGGAGGAGGAGGAGGAGGAGGAGGAGGAGGAGGAGGAGGAGGAGGAGGAGGAGGACAGCAGACGAGGAGGACGGACGAGACGGGAGGAGGGACGGGAGGAGAGGAGGAGGAGAAGGAGGAGGAGGAGAGGAGAGGAGACGAGGAGGAGAAGGAGGAGGAGTAGGAGGAAGAGGAGGAAAAGGAGGAGAAGAGGAGGAGGAGGAGGAGGAGGAGGGCGAGGAAACCCTCCCTGGCGCACGGAGCGCGCCACGGGGGGCGGCGCCGGAGGGGCGCCGCCGGGAGGGGGGGGCCGAGCGCCGATCCAGGACATCTGCGCGCGGACCTCTGAGAGAACAGTCGTAGGCCTCTGGCTCTCCCTCCTCCCCCTCCTCCTCCTCCTCCTCCTCCTCCTCCTCCTCCCTCCTCCTCCTCCTCCTCCTCCTCCTCCTCCTCCTCCTCCTCCTCCTCCCTCCTCCCCGCCTCCTCCTCCTCCTCCTCCTCCTCCTCCTCCTCCTCCTCCTGCTCCTCCTCCTCCTCCTCCTCTTCCTCCTCCTCCTCCTCGAAGGCATCGTTCTGCCTCATGGCTCTCCCTCGGGGAGAGGAGCGGCGGCGGCGGCAGGAGCGCCGCGGGCGCGCAGCGACGTGCCCGCCCCGCGGAGCCCGTGGCGGGCAGCCGGGCTGCACAGGTCGCGGAGCCCGTGCCGGGCTGCACAGCCGCGGAGCCCGTGGCGGGCCCGTGGCGGGCCGCGGAGCCAGTGTTAGGTCGGGGATGTCCCCCTACAGGCGGATTTTGGACGGAAGCGAAAATAGTGAACAAACATACGCGCCAACAAAAATACACCCCAATGGCCAAAAATACTAACAAAAATCGCCCCAGGCTACATTCTGACTATTTAGGGGCACTCCTCCTGTAGGGGGACGAGCCCGACTTCAGGCCAGCGTGCCCCATGCCGCGGAAGGCGCCAGGGGCGGCACCGCAGAAACCTCTGATGGGCCTGTTTTCCACCACAACTACCATAAGTTGAAGGGGGAAGGAGTTGGAGGACGAGGTGGAGGAGGAGGACGAAGAGGAGGAGGAGGAGGAGGAGAAGGAGGAGGAGGAGGAGGAGGAGGAAGACCCCCTCCCCCTCTAACTTGTGGTGCTGGTGGTGGGCAACAGGCCCATCAATCTTGGGGCGTCATTCAGGCGCGCCCGACTCGGCTGCACGCCAATAGACGAGCGCGTTCCACCGAGTTCCTCGCAGAGTATCTACTCGCAAGTTACCTGGATCCGGCGCGGGGGAATTAAGTTACGATCGTGCGCGTCGGAGCAGATATATGTTTTTGTTTCAGACGTTTTGCGAGCAGTGCAACGCGCTCGGTGAGCCAGAGCGGCCCCAGGCAAGAGTGACCTGTGGTGCGCGGCCTCAGGGGGCCACGGTCGGGGGCCAGACAAAGCACGCAGGCCAGTGCTGAGCGGGGCACGGGGGGAGGGGGGCAGGGGGCAAGAGGGCGGGGGGCAGGGGGAGGGGGTGGGGCAAGCTAGGTGCGCTCGCGTCATATCTGGCATCCTGCCCCTCCCTCCCATCCCTTAAGATGGCGCAGATCCCGTCTCTACTCGCACAGTCGGATGTCGAGCAGGGCAATGATCCCGAAAGGTTACGCGATGCATTGTAGAGCACGGCATGGCAGGCGTAGAAGAGCACCGCGAAGCGTAGTATGAACCTAACATTGCATTGCATGCCGTGGCATGGCACGGGAAATGACGCCAGCGCTGCAGCGGGAGCACGAGTCGAAACGAGCGGAAGTGCGGAAATGAGGCCCGCGCTGCAGCGGGAGCACGATTCGGAACGAGCGGAAGCACGCCAGAATCGGCCCGGGAGGCTCCAGAAGCAGAAATTCAGCATTTTCGAAAGAAACATGTGTATTGGAATGCCCTTTTTTCGGCGCCGCCTCGGAACTCGATTTTCTGGCGCCGGCCGGAACCGGCTCCGGACCAAGCCTGGGCACCGGCCAGGGCGCCGGCTCGGGCGTCCGGCCCGGGCGCCGGCTCGGGCGCTGGCCTGGGCGTCGGAATCGGCCGAGGAGGCCTCCCGGCCGCCGGAAGCATAAATCCAGCATTTTCAAAAGAAAAATGTGTATTAAAATGTATTTTTTTTTCGGCGCCGCCTCTGAACTATTTTCCGGCGCCGCCTCGGAACTGGCTCCAGACCCGGCCCGAGTGCCGGCCCGGGCGCCGGCTCGGGCGTGCAGGCGCCGGCGGAAATGAGGCCAGCGCTGCAGCGGGAGCACGATTCGGAACGAGCGGGGCCCGGAAATGAGACCGGCGCCTCAGCGAGAGCAGCATTTTGGAAACAAATGCCAGCGAAAACCCAACTCCGGGGAAACCTGTATGTAAAAAAACAGTACGCGGGGGGGGCGGCTCTCCCAAGACGTCATCAGGGGAAGAGGGAGAGTAGTATTCATATTGAGTACTTGTCGAGGGGGAAGGGAGGAGGAGGGCGGGGGGTGGATGAACCCCTTCTGGGCACGCACAGGGTCACTCTGGCGAAGGGTCGCTCCTGCGTGCTGCAGCCGAGAGACGCGGCCCGCCAGCCGCGCGCCCTGGCCTGCCGCAGGGTCGGATCGGGGGCGACGAAGGGGTCGAGTAGCCCAGGGGGAGGCCAGCTACAATGCATCAAGGGGCGCCGATGGTCCATGTCCTCGTCGCCGTCCCTGGGCGAATCGCTCCTATCTTGGGCGCCCGAGTTATCTGGGGTAACTCGGGCCCGGGGTAACTCGGGTTCGGATTCCAGCAAAAACGAACCCGAGCTAGCCCTGACCCGAGCTACCCCTTATGAGTTAGGGCTCTGGACACCCGAGCTGTCCGGGGTAACTCGGGCTGGGGGCAACTTGGGCCCTGGTTCCCGAGCATCGAACCCGAGTCAGCCCGGACCCGAGTTACCCCTGAGAGTTCGGGGCTGTGACTATCGTGGCCTCTGAGCCGCCAGCTGCGGCCAGCCGCCTCGAGCCGGCGCGCCGGGGGAGGGGGTCCTCCTCCATCCTCCCCCTCTTCTTCCTCCTCCTCATCCTCCATCTCCTTCCCCTCATTTGACTTATGGTGGTGGTGGTGGAAAACAAGCCCATCGCTGCCGCCAGCGCGGCCGCGGGAAGCACTCGCCGCCGCCACAGGCGGCCGGGCGCGGCAGAGGGCACCCGAGCCTCGTCCGCGGTTGCCGGAGGGCAGAAAATCCACCCCGACGATAACCACCCCGACACGCGAAGCCGCTTAGTAAACGCACCCAAGGAGGGAATCAAACGGGGCAGGGCTGTCTAGTAAACGCCAAGGGCCGTCTAGTCAACGCCAATTGTCCGGTCCGGGTGGTTTTCCTCCCTTGAGTTTCGGTGGCAACTCATGGAGGGTTTTTTTGTTTGTCGGTAGACGCTGGCAAGGTGGCTTGCACGGCGTTCCCCCCCCTTCCGCCGCGTTTTCAGGCAGCGCTGGGCCGAACAGGCGTGCAAGTGAGTCCCGACTTGCGTGAGGTGCAGATTCCGTTTCGGGCCTCGCCACGCCCCCCCCCTCCTCCCTCCCCCCCCTGTGCACACGAATACGCTTGCCAGAGTCTACAAACAGCGGGCACCATCTTGCTGGTTCTTGCGAGTCGATGCACGCCAATCGACGCAACCTCAGCCCTATCTCTCACCGATTACAGGACGCTGGCGCACGCGAGTGCACTCTACAAACGGAACTCCGAGGACCTGCAAGGCTCCCATGATTTGTCACCGAACGCGGTTCTGGCCCAGCGCGGCCCACGTTCCGCTGCCGAGGCTTCTGGCGGGCAGGGGTGGGGCGAAGGGGTCGGCCTTCTAAGGGGGCAGGGTGATCCTCGGAAGGGAGCGGGGGCTTCTCGGAAGGCAGGAGGGCTTCTGAGGCTTCTGAGAAGCCCCCTGCCTTTCTTCGGGGCCCACCCCAATCGCCCCACCCTCCTGTGCGCGCCGCAACAAAATGTGGGCCGACAGGCGTCCCGCCGCCATCCCTCATGTCTCGTCCTCGACGGGGTGCAAAGTCGCCTCGTTGTGCCCGAAGCCGCAAGAGGCCAGCCAGCGGCCGTCGGGGCTGAAGCGCACACAGCAGAGCCAATCCGTCGCCTTGGGCGTCTGAAGCACCATCTGCTCGGAGAGAACGTCCCAGATCGTGACCTGCATGTCCTCGCCGCCGCTCGCTAGGAAACGCGAATCTGGAGACCAGCCCAAGCAACGCACACCGGCAACGCACGCGAATTGGGATACGCTTTCGAAATCCCGGTCGACCAACAGAATGCTCACCACGCTGTCCTCGCCGCCTACAGCGAGCAGGGTCCCTGTGGGAGAGAAGGCCGCCGCATGTACGATGTCGGGAAACAAAATCGAACCCATGTAGTTGCAGTCCTGTCCAGCAGCGGCCACGCGCCAGACCACAATTTTCATGTCGTTTCGCTGCGACTTGTTCGTCATGAGGCCGTGCATGTCGTCGATGCCTCCCCCACCGGTAAGCATGCCGCCGCAGGGCGAGAAGGACAGGCAGCGCACGTGACCTTCGTGTTGGAGGCACGCAATCTCCTGCATGTCCGGGAGGGACAGTAGCGACACCCCCTTGTCCGCGGTGCCAACGGCCAGGAGCTCGCTCTTCCCAATCGCCACGGACAGCACGGGGGCATCGAACTCCTTGCTGCCGACCTCGCCCTTTTCGGCCGTGCCCCAGAGGACCACGTTGGACCCCGTGGTCGCAACCGCCACGTAGAGACCGCTCGGGGAGTATGCCAGAGAAGAGATTGGATCACCGAGCCTCGCTCCCGCGGCCTTCGAGCCGTCTGCGGCGTCCCAGATGACCAGGCTGGCGTCCTCGCCCCCCGTGGCCACGAAACGGCCGTCTGGGCTGAACGAGAGACCCATGACCTCGTCCGTGTGCTTCAGCTCCACGGCCTGCCTCGACGTGGAGAGCGCGGGCCTTGGTCAGGGACTGACCGTCCCGGCATTCTTATCGGCCTACTACGACGTTTTCTTAGATCTCCAACATGTGCTCAGAACAGAAACAATGTTCTTAGAGCGTGAGCCCGATGTGTTAAAACAAGGCAGACTCCGCTGGAACATTATGAGAACATTTCGTGCAAACCACAACATGTTCTTAGAACATTCTTTGGTGGGCGTATAGGCGAGCCAGGACGCTTCGCCACTGCTTGAGGGCCTCGTCTCGCCAAGCGGCACCCCGAGCATCAGCGCTTTGTCCGACCGCGCGTCGCGCCCCTGGGGCCGCCGGTCGTCGCCGGACCCCACGTGCTCCACCTTCAGCAGGAAGCCCTGGACCTGGTCGCCCATCTCCACGAAGGCCGGCACTGACATGCTGACCGCCAGGGTCTGCGGGGCCGCCGACCCCGTGCTGAGCCTCCTCGGCGCCTGATCGGCGCCCTCGTGCGCGTCCTCGTCCTCGTCGCCGTCGATGCCTGGGGCCTCGGCCTCGTCCGCCTCCGACGGCGCCCTAGAGGAAGACCGGGAGATGGGGCGCTCCTCGCTCGTCGTCACTGGGTGCAGGAGCACCTCGCGGGAGCCGAAGCCGCAGCTGGCCAGCCAGAGCCCGTCGGTGGAAAAGGCGAGGCTGCAGTACCAGTCCTTGGCCTTCGGCAGCTGCAGCGCCAGCACCTCGTCGATGACATCCCAAATTGATATCTGCATGTCCTCACCGCCCGAGGCCAGGAAGCGATTGTCGGGCGACCACGCCAGGCACCTCACGCCGGCGGCGCACGGCAGTTTCGTGGCACGCTCGAAACCGCGGTCCACGAGCAGCACGGTCACCTCGCAATTCTCGCCACCAACGGCCAACAATTTCCCACTTGGGGCGAACACCGTCGCGTGGACGATGTCATCGAACTCCAGGTCGGTCACTTGATTGGCGCTGCTGCCATCTGCGGCGAACTGCCAGATCACGGTCTTCATCTTTTTGTCCTTGTTTTTCTTGGTCATCAGGCCGTGCATGATGTCGATCCCGCCCCCGCCGGCGAGCATGGTGCCGTCTGGCGAAAAGGTGAGGCTTCTTGCCTGGCCGTCGTGCGCCAGCTCGGTGATGCTGTCCATGCCAGGGACCGAGAACAGCGTGACTGTCTTCTCGGTGGTCCCGACTGCCAGCACCTCCCTGCTGCCGGCGGACATGGCCAGCGAGAACACGTCACCCTCCACTTCGGCTCTCCCAACCTCCTCGCCGTCGCTCGCCCTCCAAACGGTGACGACAGAGTTGGCGTCGACGGCGGCGACATAACAGCCACTGGGCGAAAAGGCCACAGCTTTGACTGGGGCCTCGGGCTTCGCCTTGAAGACCTCGGTCCCGCCCGACACGTCCCAGAGCACCACAGCGCAGTCCTCCCCGCCCGCCAGCAGCTGGGTCCCAGCTGGATTGAATGCGAGGTCCATGACCTCGTCATCGTGCTGAAGGGCAACCGGCTCTCTGGCCGTGTCCCTGCTGATATAAAGGCTCTTACACTTAAGCCCCATGATGACCCGAGGCCAGACTTTGTACATGTCCACCGCCTGGGGATGGGACGCCCCAGGGCCCCAGGAGGGTGGACGTGGGCATCTTTGGGCTCGCCGAGCGCACGACCACGTCCACGTCCACTGCCTCCTGGGGCCCCTGGACACCGCAGCCCCTCGCAGCCCCCAGGACATGGCGCCGCAGAGCGAAACCCCGGCCTCGGAGATGAGCGCCGTCGTGCTCCTCCTCCTCTCCTCCGCCGAGAGAAAGGACCCCATGGAGCCGCGCACGTCCAGCTGCCTGGCCCCGGGCTGCCTCACCTTGTGCTCGAAGGGCGGCGCGGAGGAGCGCGCCCTTGGCGAGGACGCGGCCGCGGGTGCCTCGCCCGGGCCGCCCGCCTCTCCCGCGGGGGCACCCGCCTGCGGGCAGCCGCTGGTCCTGGCGGACTCCACCTGCGCCCTCAGGGCATCTGGGTACGGTGTCCTCTTCGCGGCCCCCGCGGCCCCAGCCGTCGACGGCAGCTCCACCGCTCCACCGGCGTGCTGCGCCGACGGCTCCCTCAGGGGCACGTCGTCCATCTTGAGGACGTCTACGGACGGCATCCTGGGGCCCTACTGGAGCTCCCTCGGCAAGCCCCGTCCGCGCATGAGCTGCCGCGGAGGGGACGTTGCGGCCGCTGCTCGGAGATCGAGCAGCAAATGGCTTCAGCAGAAAGGCGAAATGTGGGGGGCAGGAGATAGAGGAGAACGCGAAATATCAAACTGGAGCTTGACGCCAGAAACAATACTGGCCGGTCTCTGCCCAGGAAGCCAAACCCGCATAAACCGACTCAGACGCCCCGCCATGAGCCGTCCAAGAAAAGCTCGGGAGACTAACGAACAAAGGTATCCCCACGCATTCTCAGTGGTCTCTTGGACCCGCTTTTGGAAGCACTGAGGACTGCCCCTGGATGCCAAAACGATCCAGGAACCCTTGGCCTTGTCGCATTTGTGGCTATCTGGCCGTCGGGGCGTCCGAGAAACGGCACGACACGCTTCCAGGGCCCATCCCAAGAGGGCGGGAGGCTCCCACGACATGCTCCCAAGAGGGCGGGAAGCTCCCAAGAGGGCGGCCGAGAAACGGCACGACATGCTTCCAGGGCCCATCCCAAGAGGGCCCATCCCAAGAGGGGGAACACGAACTGCTGCGTGGAGCCCTCCAACCCAGAAGGGACCCCGAGACAGCCGGCAGGCCCACATCACGCCGCCCCAGATGCACCCAAGAGGCCCTCAGGGGGGCCCCAACAAGAGGCCTCCAAGAACCCCCCCCCCCTAGAAGCCCCACCTAATGCTCCTCCTCCTCCTCCTCCTCCTCCTGCTCCTTCTGCTCCTCCTGCTCCTCCTGCTCCTCCTGCTCCTCCTCCTTCTCCTCCTTCTCCTCCTCCTTCTCCTCCTCCTCCTCCGCAGCAGCAGCAAGCAGACCTCGTGCCCACGACCCCGGCGCAATGGCGGGCCGGGCCGCTCGCCGCTCGATCTGCTCACAGCGCGGGTCCCCAGAGGTCTCGGCCCCAGCCCGCGGGCCGGCTGCTCGTCCCGAGCGGTCTCTTGACGGTCCCGAGTGGTATCTTGGCGGTGGGCCGCTTCTTCTACGACGCGAGAAGTCCCACTCTGGATTTCTTGATAAGCGTGGGGGGTCCCCCCCCGACGGGAGTCAACCTCGTCTCGTCGTCGCGCCGCGACGGGGGTCCGAGCGACTTCGGCGCGCGGTGGCTGCTCGCGACGGGGGTCGATGTGGGGCTGTCGGCGGGGGTGACGCCCCCCCCCCGACGCTCATGAAGAAACTCGGAGTAGGCCATGCCTGCTGTCTGGCGTCTCAGAGCGGTGCGGTGACAGACCGTGCGATGACCTCGAGATCCCGCAGACCTCACCACACGGTCCGTCACCGCACGTTGCCCTTTGCCCCTCCCCACGAACACATCGGAAGGCCGACGTGCCCCGTGTGACCGTGGGGCACGACAGTCGGCACGGAGAGTCAGCCGCGCTCTGGGCAGGCTGCTCAGGACAGGGAGACCCTCCTCCAACGCGCGCTTTGTGGGACCCTGTGAGGCTCCCGGGATGGACCACACAAGAGCGGGAGCGGGAGCAGGAGGAGGAGGAGGAGGAGGAGGAGAAGGAGGATGAGGAGGAGAGGAGGAGGAGGAGGAGGGAGGGAGGGGAGAAGGCGTGTCTGACCGGAGGCGCGCAGGGCGGCGACCAGATGGGCAAGCGGTGGCGAGAGTGGCCCGCGTGTCGTGCCTCGCTGGCGCTGCTCGCCTCTCCGCCCCCCAGAAGGCCTCGAGGAGGGAGGACCAGGAACCAGGCGGAACGATCAAGGCACTGAGCAGGGGGCTGGGACATCGCCTCGGAATCGGGGATGCATCGCCGACAGATCGGCGATGGGCCGCCGATGGCCAGCCGCCGATGGCGAAGCTGCACGACCTGCGACGCATCGGCGATTGGGGGATTCGTTGCGCCGCCCCCCTGAGCTTATGCCTACCCTGGCATTGTCACTGGGAGAAGGCGTAGATAACGCGAGGAGGAGGAGGAGGATGAGGAGGAGGATGAGGAGGAGGAGGAGGGGGAGGAGGAGGAGGAGGAGGAGGCGGAGGAGGAGGAGGAGCCGCAGGAGCCGGAGGAGGAGAGGAGAGGAGAGCAGGAGGAGGAGAGGAGGGGGAGGAGAAGAAGGGAAGGTGGGGGAGGATGGTGTGGAGGAGGAGGAGGAGGAGGAGGAGGAGGAGGAGGAGGAGGAGGAGGAGGAGGAGGAGGTGTGGAGGAGGAGGAGGAGGAGGAGGAGGAGGGGAGGAGGAGGAGGAGGAGGAGGAGAGGGGAGAGAGACGAGGAGGAGGAGGAGGAAAAGGAGGAGGAGGAGAAGGAGGAGGAGGAGGAGGAGGAGGAGGAGGAGGAAGAGGAAGAGGAGGAAGGGGAGGAGGAGGAGGAGGAGGAGGCACTGGATGAGGGAGAACGCGGGAAGCGTGTATGGGTGTCGAGGAGACAGCCCCGCACGTTGGTTGGGCGCTCGAGGAGGCGGTACATCCTGAGCTCAAGAAGGGCGCCACCACCGCACATGTCGGAAGGCATATGCGCGAATGCGCGGTTGAACAATCCATCGGCCGCAACAACTACGTACCCATCGCTCAGAAAGCATCCTGATCATTTAGTGGAAGGCCATTGGAGTATACACTCGGAGCAGTGAGAATCACGCTACGCAATGGATCCCGGTTTTAAAACATTCGGTTTTCTTATACACCTTCCGTGCCTCAGGGCAAGCACAACAGGCCTGTCCACTGGAAGTCAGGCCTCTCAAAAACATGCAGACGTGAATGATGTGGGCACGTACAGGGAGCTGAGGAGGAGGAGGACGACGAGGACGAATTACCAACGACGTCCTGATCTCTTCATCCTCAACACGTGGGGTTCCGAAAATCTCGACCCACACGGTCGTATGCAGTTCGCGCCGTCGGCTGTTTTTGCTTGTGGATCGTGGGGCCCAGGACCCCCGGAACGAAAAGCCTGCAGGACCCCCTCCTTCCTAAGACCCAGTTCTGGGACGCACGAAGACATACTAGTGCTACAGTGCTACATGTCATCCTCGGAGGCGCGCGTCCGACCCCAACATATAGTACACCCGTCTTGTAGTAGATCGTTTCCCGAACGGTATGACCAGAAAGCGCCCGCCACGACACTTATACGACCAGACTTCTCGGTGCGCGCGTCGCCTCTGGGGGGCGACGCACATATAGCATTGGTATGTTGGGGTGCCGTCGACGCACCCTTCGTGACGACTGTCCCCCTGGATTCAGGTCGGGCGTGTCCTCCTACAGGGGGATGTTGGGCGAACGGTTCAACATACAACAAACATGTTCAAACATTGTCAAAACAGATAATCAAAACATCGTCCCCTGGCTAGTTGTATCTATATTACGTTTGGATATCCCTCGTGTAGAGGAGCGTGCCCGACTTGACCCTGGATTTGTCGCTCGCATGGCAAGGCGGCAGCATCAGGGCCGTCGGCGGTCGCCGCGGAGACTCCCCCGCCAACCAGCGCGCCCGGGCTCCGAGGGAGACGACCTACCAGACCACACCAGCCCAACCCCAAAGACCCCAACTTCGGCTTGGGGGGGTTATGGACTCCATGTGTCTTGGTGGGCCCTGGAAACGACAGGGCCATTTTTTAACCAGTCCCGTTTTGCCGTTTCTGTTGTCGGTTCCGACGCCGTTTTTGCTACCGGTTCCGTCGCCGTTGTTTGACCGGTTCCGGCTCCGGTTCCAATCCTGGAACCGTTTTTGTTGCCGTTTCCGGTCGCCGTTTTTTGCCGTTTCCATTTTCAAGGGACATTTTTTTGGAAACGGTGAAAAAACGGCCGTGCCGTTTCCGGGGCCCACAAAACCCAAGACCCGAACTTCGGCTTGGGGGGGTTATGGGCTCCATGTGTGTTCTTTCTGTCCCCGGACCCCCCCCCTGGAAATGGAGGGCAAACTGAAGCCTTCCCATGAGATCCGGCGTTGCAAGAAAGTTGCAACATCGCAGAAAATCACGCCCAGAGACCATGGGCCGCATCTCTCTGCGTCACTTTTCGAGCCGGATCGATCTGTGGGGGTCCCAGGGGCCGAGATTGAGCCCAAACCCCTGCTGCGAAAAAGTGGCAACGTCAGGATCTCAGGGTTCGGGTTGGGTCGGGGGGGCCTTGGTGGGTGATAGAGGGAGGGGCGTGCCGTAGCCTCGGCCGCGGCTGCACGGCCGCGCGGCCCCGCTGCGTCACCGCCGCGGGTGCTCTGGCGGGCAGGGGCGGAGCGAAGGGGGCGCGGCCCTTCTGGAAGAGGGCAGGCCAGCCTGGAGGGGCCCTGGGACACACAGATAAACAGGCACGAACAGCTGGATTCCCCAAATTTCCTGTTTTTCGTCTGAGCTTTCGTCTCCCCCCCCCCACTTACCATATTTCCCCACATGTTCTGGGGAATCGACGACAAATTGTGTCTGTGTTTTTGCCCCTCCTGACAGCCCCCCTCGAGCCATGAAACAAGCACGACGGCAAACGTTTCGCTAATGTGCGGCCTCTGGGGGCCCTTACCCAGGGCCTCGGGGCCGTGAAAAAGCGATATTCGGGATGAAGAACCAGTCCCAGGGAATGGGTAAAGACCTCTGGGGGTCGGCGTCGTGAAAAAGTCATGACGTCGGGGGTCTGGGAACAAACCTGGGCCAGCTTCTGCCGTTCACGCTGGAGGAGGAGGAGGGGGGAGGAGGAGGAGGCGGAGGAGCAGGAGGAGGAGGAGGAGCAGGAGGGAGGAGGAGGAGGAGGAGGAGGAGGGAGGGAGGGAGGGAGGGAGGAGGAGGAGGAGGGGACCTGGGCTTCTCGGAAGGCAGGAGGGGGGCTTCCTCTCGACCTGCACAGAGGGTGCCGCCTGCGGTGCGGCCGCCTCGGCGCAGAGGGTGCCGCCTGCGGTGCGGCCGCGGCCGCCTCGGCGGCGGCCGCGGCAGCGCGGCACCCGCTGCGCGGAAGGTGCGGACGGTGCAGGTCGAAATTCGGAGGCTTCTGCGGAGCTCCCTGCCCTCCTCGGCGGCGAGCCCCGAGGGGGGGGGGGGAGGTGAGAAGGGCGGCAACTGGCCCCTGAAAAGCCCCGCCGCCTTCTGAGGAGACCTGCTCCCTCTCACTCCCCTCCTCCTCCTCCTCCTCCTCCTCCTCCTCCTCCTCCTCCTCCTCCTCCTCCTCCTCCTCCTCCCCCTCGCTCGCCGCCGACTTTCACAGGGGGCCACCCCGCTCGCACTACCCTCCTGCGCGCGCCGCCAGTACGGGGTGGGCCACGGGACGGCCCGCCGCCATTACTCCTGCTTCTCGTCCTCGACCGGGTGCAGAGTCGCCCCGGTGTGCCCGAAGCCGCAAGAGGCCAGCCACCGGCCGTCGGGGCTGAAGCGCACGCAGCAGAGCCAATCCGGCGCCTTGGGCTCATGTTGCTCCCATTGTACTTAAGGACCACATCCCAGAACAAAAATCGAGCCCCTAAAAATATCGAAACAATGTCGAACGAGTATCGCCTCCCAGGGCCTGATGCGTGAAAACCCTCAAGTTTCGGTATTGTCATGGTGCACGAAATTGTTTCTGGCGGTCCAGGCTAAAGTAAGTTGGAACATCATAACCTTGGGCGTCTGAAAGACCATCTGCTCGGAGATAACGTCCCATATCGTGACCTGCATGTCCTCGCCGCCGCTCGCCAGGAAGCGGGAGTCTGGAGACCAGCCCAGGCAACGTACACCAGCAACGCACGCGAAGTGGGATACGCTTTCGAAATCCCGGTCGACCAACATCATGCTTATCGCGCGGTCCTCGCCGCCTACAGCGAGCAGGGTCCCTGTGGGAGAGAAGGCCACCGCATGCACGATGTCGGGAAACGGGATCGACCTCATATACTTGCAGTCCTGTTCGACAGCAGCCACGCGCCAGACCACCGTCTGCATACCATTTCGCTGCGACTTGTTCGTCATGAGACCGTGCATGTCGTCGATGCCTCCCCCGCCAGTGAGCATGCCGCCGCAGGGCGAGAAGGACAGGCAGCGCAATGTCCCAATATCGTCGTGCTGGAGGCACGCAATCTCCTGCATGTTCGGGAGGGAAAGCAGCGATACCCCCTTATCCGCCGTGCCAGCGGCCAGGAGCTCGCTCTTCCCAATCGCCACGGTCAGCACGGGGGCGTCGAACTCTTTGCTGCCCACCTCGCACTTTTCGGCCGTGCCCCAGAGGACCAAGCTCGACCCCGTGGTCGCCACCGCCACGTAGAGACCGCTCGGGGAGTATGCCAGCGAAGAGATTGGATCATCGAGCTTCGCTCCCGCGGCCTTCGAGCCGTCTGCGGCGTCCCAAATGACCAGGCTGGCGTCCTCGCCCCCCGTGGCCACGAAACGGCCGTCCGGGCTGAACGCGAGCCCCATGACCTCGTCCGTGTGCTTCAGCTCCACGGCCTGCCTCGACGTGGAGAGCGCGGGCCTCGTTTGTCCCAGCGGCACCCCGAGCATCAGCGCCTTGTCCGACCGCGCGTCGCGCCCCTGGGGCCGCCGCTCGTCGCCGGACCCCACCTTCGCGGGTATTGCAAGCTGGGGTTACGGACCAGATGGGGCTGGCCGAGATACATCGCTTGGACTTGCTCCAGGGAAGCTGGCTGTCGCCCGCTGGAGTATCCAGCACCAGGCAATGCTGAACTTGGGTCCTCTTGGGACGCTGGAGGCTTCTGGGTGCCCCCTTGGGACGCTTCTGCGGGGGTAGTGGGGTCCTGTTGGGGCTCGCTGGAACTGGAAGCATCGCGGGGCCCTCTTGGGGCCCTCGTGGGGCTCTCCGGGGGTCCTCTTTCCGGCCCTGGAGGGCCTCCTGAGGACATCCGGGACGCCTCGTGCGCCGATCCCCGCTGGGGGGCGCCAGAGCCGGGAGACCGGACCTGCGGAACGCGCGCGTCGGACCCGCTCCCGAGGGTTATGATGTCCCAACCTACTTTAGCCTTGACCACCAGAAAGAATTTCGAGCGCCCCCAAAAAATAATAAAAAAAAAAAAAACTCAAGGGTCTTCGCGCGTCGGCCCCTGGGAGACGCTCGTCCGACACTCTTTCGACACTTTTTCGGGTGCTCGACATTCTTTCTGGGATGTGGTCCTTAAGGACGATGGGAGCAACAGAACCCGAGGGCAGAATTGTGACGTCGACGGTCGGATCACATCCCTGACGGGTTGGGGGCAGTGCTTTCCATTGCGCTTTGTCTTAGCACCCGGGACCTGCGACGACGCCGTTTCGGAGGCGAGCCCAAGGTGGACGTGAGAGGGAGCAGGCCTTGTCAGAGGGCGGCGGGGTTACTCTTAGGTCGGGCATGTCCTCCTATAGGCTCATCTTGGGGGAAAATGTAAAATAGTCGCAAATACTGAGCAATGAACAAGCAATAATCGAAAACTCGTCCCCAGACGATTTGTTTGACTATTCTTGAATCTCCCTCCCGTGGAGGGGCAGGCCCGACTTCAGGGAACTCCAAAGCCCTGTAGCCTTCCGAGAAGCCGTCTCTTTCTGTTCGGAGGATCCTCGGATCACGTCTCGGAAGGCCCAAGGCCTTGTGAGCCCTACGAGAAGGCCCGCCACCTCTGTTGGGCGCCCGAGTTATCCGGGGTAACTCGGGTCCGGGGTAACTCGGGCTCGGATTCCCGAAAAAGGAACCCGAGTTAGCCCTGACCCGAGTTACCCCTGATGATTCGGGGCTCTGGACGCCCGAGTTATCCGGGGTAACTCGGGTCCGGGGTAACTCGGGTTTGGATTCCCGAAAAAGGAACCCGAGTTATCCCTGACCCGAGTTACCCCTGATAATTCGGGGCTCTGACTCTGCCCTCCCTCCCGCACTCGCCGCCGAGAGGCCCCGACGGTGCTGAGCGGGGCGCACGCCGGGAACGCACCCCACGGCACGCCCAGGGAGGCCCCTGCGGGGGCCTCGGGGCGCCGCCCCCGACCAGCCGCGACGGCAGTCGCCGTTCCTCGGCGACGCCGGGAGGAGTCAAATTTCGGCGCTCTGGCCGGAGGGCACCGCACTATGACTGCACCGCATGTGTTGCTATGTTTTGCCTCTCTCGTTCTTCCTCCGTCCTCCTCCTGCTCCTCCTCCTCCTCCTCCTCCTCCTCCCCCTCATCGTTCTTCCCTGCTTGCGATCTCTTGAGCTGGATATCTTGCCCGCACGCCGGATGGCGTATGGCTGGCGATTGAGTGAAAGCCGTGTGGTGACGGACCGCGTGGTGACCTCGTCCTCGGAGAGCGACCCGAGTCCCAAAACCGTGCAATGAATCCAGATCCCGACTGACTCACCACGCGGTGTGGTCACCTCACCGTGTGGCGGCCCCAGACGAATGCAGGCACGCCCTTAAGAAGGCCCTGTGAAGCCACGCATGCGCCGAACCAGTACGGATACCCTTACCACATTGTGTTTCTTGCGCGAGATACACCGCTGCTACCTTGTGCTCAATGCTAGTGGGTGGCGATTGACATAGCCCTTGCCAGATTGCGACACGTGTCGTGACCACACGCTCGCGAATTTAGGATTTGCGCGCCAAAGTGGCCTTAGGTGAGGACTGTTTTTTCGAAAACCTATCGTGTCATCTGGAGCCGCTTAACCCGGACGAAATCATCTGAGACGATTTTATCCAGACGCGTTCATATGGACAACTTCGTCAAGACGATTCCAACCGAAGACGGATCCATCCAGAGACGAGATCGCCCGCAGACAAGCTCATTCAAACAAATGTTCCAGACAACGTCATCTGGACAAGTTCGTCCGGAAGAACATTCTTCTGGATGAACTCTGCGAGAACAAATGTTATAGGGATGAATTGGTCGTCCTCCTTACGTACTCCCGACACCTGCTCTACCTTCAGCATGAAGCCCTGGACCTGGTCGCCCGTCTCGACGGAGGCCGGCACCGACATGGTCACTGCCAGGCTCTGCGGGCCCGCCGGCGACGAGCTGAGCCTCCTCGGCTCATGATCGGCGCCATCGTGCGCGTCCTCGTTAGGACGGGACTGATGTCTTGATAGCATTGGCTCAAGATACGTTTCAGGATTCCCGGAATACCTAGCGGCCCTCGTTTCTGCAGCCCCTGTGGAACAACAAGGATCATCGGGGAAAACCTGGAAAACTTGGAGCGTATCATTTGAATGATCTTTTGCTCCTCCGACTCGTCCTCGTCGCCGTCGAGGCTGGGGGCCTCGGCCTCGTCCGCCTCCGACGGCGCCCTCGAGGAGGGCCTGGAGGCCAAGCGCTCCTCGCTCGTCGTCACCGGGTGCAGCAGCACCTCGCGGGTGCCGAAGCCGCAGCTGGCCAGCCAGAGCCCATCGGTGGAGAAGGCGAGGCCGCAGTACCAGTCCCTGGCCTTCGGCAGCTGCAGCGCCAGCACCTCGTCGACGACGTCCCAGATGGATATCTGCATGTCCTCGCCGCCCGAGGCCAGGAAGCGGTTGTCAGGAGACCACGCAAGGCACCTCACCCCGGCGGCGCACTGCAAGCTCGTGGCACGCTCGAAGCCACGGTCCACGAGCAGCACGGCCACCTCGCAGTTCTCGCCGCCTACGGCCAACAGGTTCCCGCCCGGGGCGAACACCGTCGCGTGGACGATGTCGTCGAACTCCACGGCGGCCACATGGCTGGCGCTGTTGCCGTCTGCGGCCAACTGCCAGATCACGGTCTTCATCTTGTTATATTTGCTCTTCTTTGTCATCAAGCCGTGCTTGTCGTCGACCCCACCCCCTCCGGCGAGCAGGGTGCCGTCTGGCGAAAAGGTGAGGCTTCTTGCCTGGCCGTCGTGCGCCAGCTCGGTGATGCTCTCCAT